TTGATTCAACCAAATGGCAAAGCTAAAAAGGGAGGGAGGGAGGGAGGGAGGGAGGGAGGGAAAGCAGCCAGAAGTTTTGAACGCGCGCGGCCGCTCCGAGAAGACAGGTCAAAAGTGCCTCTCACGAAAGTTGAATTGAATGCTGGCGAAGACCGCGTCGTGAACTTCCTTGATTTAGTAAAATATGTTGAGGGTTTGTAGCGCTGTATATACATATATATATATATGTCACGAGTGAGTGTCTGTGTAAGTTCACGTTTGGATCGAGCCCGTTCGTGTCGCCGACTTTTGTTGGTGAAGAGTTGTGGGTCTTGATACGCGTGATGAATATGTTTTTGGGCTGGAGCCATTTGACGCCGAGATTCACCCTCAACCTCTTGTCATCTTGACTAAGCGCAGCGGCAATGTTGAAGGCTGCTACGACCCTGGTGCCTTTACTCGAGCGCTTAGGCGCCTCACCTTTGCTGGCGCTCGGGCGTGCGCGCGAGCTGCGATCCAACCAGAATGGAAGAAGGTCGTTTTGGGCTGCCTTACAGCTTTTGGCAGTTCTCTGCCAGCAAATTCAACATTTGGAGAAATTGTTGCAAAACTGTGTCAGACAGCTAATCAAAAGTTGGAAGGGCGTTTCCAATGCTCCACGCGCCATTTCGACAGTTTGGAAGACTGATGTGAAACGAAGGCAATTGCTGGCTCTTTTGGAATGAAAAGCGCCTGGATTACAAGGATGAATGTGGAAGAGGGACGTCCCAAATGGATTGACCATTTTGAGGAAAAGGGAGGGAGAGATACCACGCATTTGTCAATATGGCCTTGAAATTGTCAAGCCGTCCGCGTGATTCGGACAATGTGTGTTGTGACTGAGATTTAGTGTTTCTTTAAGGATATCGCAGCGCCTTGCGTCGCGCCATTGTGTAGTTTTGAGGGCGTCCAGTTCTTGTGGCGAGCCTTTCCAGCAGGCTGCCAAGATCGACAAATCTCCTGCTGCTCCACACGGCTCGTCCATTCCAGCAGAGGTTGAAGTTGATGCCTGGAAAGCGCCCACAGGCCAAGAAGCTGGGATGATGGCGGGGGGTCTACATGGGATGGTGGGTGCTCTCAATGGTATTGGCCCTGACAATGGGAGCTACTACTACTACTACTACTACTCCTGCTACTACTACTACTACTACTACTACTACTACTACTGTACTATACGCCATGCATGCCTGCCAACCATGTCACGTCACCGTCACTGTCACGTCACCGTCGCCCACGTGTCACGTCAGTGTGTGCGCGTCAACGAATGTATCCCAGGTCACGTCACGTCAGCGTCGCCGTCGCGTCAGTGTGTGCGAGTCAACGAATGTATCCGCCCTGGTCACGTCGCGTCAGCGTCACCGTCGCGTCAGTGAGCGCGAGTCAACGAATGTATCCGCCCAGGTCACGTCACGTCAGCGTCGCCGTCGCGTCAGCGTCACGTCCGGCGACCCATCCGTGGACCATACTCAAGAAGCTGCAAGCAGCAATTGCACGGGAGGCTGACCGCCCTGACAGAGGCAAGCCCCTGAGAGAGTTGTCTAACGCAGGAAACAGTGCAGTATTACAGTGGAAGCTAGCGTAGAGGTTGTTGTTGTTGTTGTTGTTGTTGTCGGTGGCGGTGGTGGCGGCGGCGTTCTTGGTGTTGGCGGTGTGAGCGATGTTGATTTGATGTTGTTGATGTTGATGTTGTTGCTGCTACCGGAAACAGAACCAGAAACCGCGCGGGCGGCGTAACTCGCACCTTGGGGCCATCTTGAGCCATGTTGAAAGAAGGGGGTACCCTTACGAGCGTACTACGAAATCATGGTTTGCAAAAACGCTAAATTTTTCAAGGCGTTGCGATGGCTCAGCTAGCGCTGGGCTCGGTTGAGCTTGTCCATGACCTAGCCAAAAGCAAGCGCGCCAGAGAGTCCATTTGGAGGATCGATGGGAGTGGCCACCGCAAAGCAAAGCCAAGAAAGTAGCGCTGGGGGGGGGTCCGCCCAAGTTAGAGCGCCGCGTCTGCCAAAGTGAACGAAGTTCGATCGAAGGCAGGGGGCGCAGACCGTGCAGTGGAAGCTTCGCCGGAGTCTTCGAAAGCGAAGCAAAACTTTGCCGCAAGCGCAGTGAAATTCCGCGTCGACAAATTGCGCGCGAAAGCTTGCGCCGCAGCGCGAGGGCAGCTGCTGCGCCAGGCTTTCGCCAAAGACAGAACATCCTGCTTGGCTTTACGCGACATACCAAATTGAGGCAAATAAAATGTATTGTTTTGGCTTTAAATTAAAGGCTTGATCAGGGCTGTGTATTGAGTGTTGCCGCTGTGCGTTGGTATGCTTGTTGCAGCCGCGGACTATTACTATAGCATGTGGCGGGGAGGTCATGACGGGCTTCAACAACGCCTATGTCTTCAAGGTAACTGGGCAAGGGTCGGCGAAAATCTACGTCGCGGCTGGAGTGCGTGAGACGCGGCTTTGACGCGCAGCAGCCTTGGCAACGCATGGCGCGCTACGCGTGGAAACAGGAGGGCGCTTTCTTGTCACGCCCGCGCGCCGCCGGAGCGTGGAATAGCAGACTCGCCCTCCTGAAGGTTATCGCAGCAGCAATCGCCCGCGCGGCGTCCGCCCGGCGGAAGGTAACGCGACAAAGGCGTGAGGAAAGCGTAGCGGCGGAACTGGCGCGAAAACACAAGCGCGTCGAAAGACAACAAAGATAAACGCGCAAGAGCTGAGCCGAGCCCCCAAGACAGTTTCCAATGGTGCCGGCGCCCCGGCCGACTTAAAGAGATTGAAGTTTCCGGTTTCCGGAATTGGAATTTTATACTGCCGCCAGCAGCGACGCTTTTGTTTACCAGTGTCGTTTTTGCGAAGACACCGTGGCAAGCAATGCGCAAACCGGGCCAGTGGACCATCGAGGTGACCACTGCGCCGCCACGCGCGCGCGCACGCGCGCCTGCTCCGTAAACTATATCTCCTTCTGGAAGATCACGGTGGCCAGGATATAAGTGCAATTCTGGCGGAGTGGAGGGCCCAAGGCGCCAAGGAAGGTTTGAGGGTAAGGAAAAATCGCTGGCGGTTTGGACGCCGAAGAGGAGATAACCGTGCCGCGCGGGCAGCTTCGATTCCTCATAAACCAAAGTTCTGGTGGTTTGCAGGGCTAGAAACACAGTTGTGGGAGATTCCATGCTCCAGCAGAGAAAAGCTTCACGCCAAAGCTGGTCCCATGCGCTTGGGTATTCAAGGACTCAAGGATAGGAAAGGTGTGTCTGCGCGCTTTGGAGGCAGGGTTCTGGTGTTACGGTGGTGCAGCCGCCAGATGTGTGGCCGTGTGCGCTTTGGAGCTTTGGATGCTGGTGCCATTCCGGTGCCGCTACCAGATGCGTGGTCGGGTGCACTTCGGCGCTGGTGCTGCTGCGTGCCTGTGTGCGCATTGGAATGTTTGGAGAGATGTGTGTGGCCATGTGAGCTTTGAAGCCTGGGTGTTTGGACCCGCTGCGGGTCCCGCTGCGATGGTGCCGCCGCTATCGGGGGCCTATGTTTCCAGCGCTCGACCCACGGAGCGCAACGAAGTGCGCACACACAGAAGTTTGAACGAGTGCGTGGAAGGTGGTTGGGTGCATTGAGCGAACAGAGCTTCACTAAGAATATGCATCCCACTTTGAGGCTTCTTGTGGGCAGCACGGACAGCCTCCTGTGGATCGGGGAAACTGGCTGGTCTTCACCGCAGGCAGGTCCTGCATTGGTGATTTCAAGGCCGTGCCAAGTGAAAAACTTCTGATTCAGGCTGCTACACTAACCGGAGCAATGACATCTTGCCCAGCATTTTCATCAACGCACTCCCTTAGCAATTTGGCCGAACAACGCGCAGATCTCTTAACACCATGGCGTGTGGGTTTTATGGTTTCTAGCAGCTCTAGCACTTGAATTGGAGTCCGCTGTGTCTTGCCAAGCTGAGAACGTTACTACTCGAATTTCTTGAAGTGGACGCTGGACATCCCAGACGTGGCGGGCCCTGATCACATTTTCTACTTTACTGCCCGAGACTCTGGTAACTTTGGAGCCGCTTGACTCCCAGTTTTCCTAGCTTTGGTTGACATCGACCAGGGCTGTTGTGCCTTTTGATGGCAACACTTTGTGGCTCAATTGGCCTGTGTCCTAGCTGCTAGCTGTCAGATAGTTTTCATTCGCGACGACACCCAGAAGATTTCCACAAACTAATCTGATTCTGACACAGCTCTACGTGTCAAACAGAAATGAACATCTCTGATGATAGTATTTAATTTAGCTATCGGAGATTAGTCAGGCAAGATAAACTCCGGCGTAAGCCTGGGCAACATTTGATCCAAGATCAGATCCCGACATATCCGTCTTACAGGGAAGTCCACCATATTTGCTCAAGGTTGGCGAACACTTTGGCCTTGTGGCAAACTGCAATTTGGTTTGACATTATTTCAAAAGCTTGAGTTCGCTGATGTGTTCATGTCAGCTTTCCAACATCCACAAATCTTGCTTGCTCAGGCAACTCCCAGAAGTGCAAGCTTCAGTCAAATAGCTCCGAGGAATTGTTTGTATAGGTGGAAAGTTGTACATAAGAACAGCTAAGGTTGTGGACTTTGATTTTTCTCGAATGCGTAGCGAAGGGTTTTCTTTTCTCTTATTTTGCATTTTGCTCTCGCAAAGCGAGACTCTAGACGCTACAGATAATGCGCTTGACCGTGAGTCTTTGCAATCAAAACAGACCTTGAGCCTCCCACTTTAACGAGTATTCTCGTAGCTGTCCCTCTTCAAGCTCAACGCGTTGTTAGTGCATGAAGATTTGTGAGAGGTTTCAATTCACATATGGCCATATGGGCTGTTGCCATGGGTTACGCCTGTGATGTCAGCGTGAGTTGCGCTTCTATTGAACCCATGTAGTGATTGTCGATTGCACTACCCCATGTTGAGTTTGGCCGGTTCTTTTGATAAGGACACAGCGCAACTGCTAAAAGCACAATGTTCAACTGCCAGGAATTCACACAATTGGTGGAGAGAACGCTGCAGGCGTGATTTAAGGTTTTGACATTTTTTTAATGCTTTGGGGCGCTCTGGCACTCTGCTCTATTGAACAGCCAGCCGCACACGTGAGGTTGACCCACTCAGCCCAACCTCCATCAGTTTGTTATTCCAAGTCTTCAGTAACATTCCCAGAGATTCTTGGCAAGACAGATACATTTTTAGCTTGGGGGCGAAATGAAAAGGCTATAATAGGCTCTCTCTCTCTATATATATATATGTATACAAGCAATGTGAGAACCCTGTTCTGAGGGGTGTCAAAGCCATGTCAAAAACGCAAAGTTTCCTGACAATAACATTATTTTCCACTGTGTTTCTCCAGGTTTTTCACTTGTTTCTTTTTTTCCAACGTTTTCCACATTCTTTCAAGTGACTGTCCACTCTACTTTACCTGCTTCCGGTGCGCATTTGTACCTTCGCGGAAACGTTCCGGAAACTTAGCAGAACTTCGTGGACACTTCATGGACCCTGACCATTGGTACTTGCTTTTCTAAACTTTTATATATGTGCTTCTACCATGTCTTGTCCACAACCTCCAGCTACATTTCACACTATCAATGTACCTCCTCCACACTTCCCATGAACTTGTACTCAGAAGCTGTTGGTGTTATTTCTTCGGGTCAGATAGGTCGGAGGTGCCGCACATAGACTGAGTTATAAGAGAAGAATCAGCAAATCATAAATCAAACTACTTTCACTCGTGCAATGACATGAGACATGGAATTAGCGCCATGAAGTCTAGAAAGTTGTGGACGAATGCAGAAACCCCCATCTATCAACCACTAAAAGAGGGTCAAAGATATGGTCAAATGCTGAACAAGTTTACACAGACTAGCAAGATAAGTGGGAAGAATATCATTGGCAACTCTATGGGAGTGAACTTGAGCACAGGTGGAAGATTCAGTGTTCACTGCATTCTGGGCACATCCTACGTCAAGCTTGGATTCCATTCAATGAAGTTGAGTCAAGCTGCAATGTTTGCAAAGAAATACAGCAAGTGATAGCTCCTCGACACAGCCTTTGACTCTGTCTCTGCCTTTCTTGGTGAGAATTTTATGTTTTCGTGCATGTTTACATGCAAAAAGAAAAAGAATAACAAATCAGGAGTTGCTGTCTAATCTGCTTCACCGACACGCAAGGCCGAGCTCACGCCAGAGGTGCGGCCCTACATTGCAAATCAAACAGTGTCTTTGTGTGGTCCTCGTACTGTGGGTCCGGTGGGTATCGAGCTCTGGGTTTGATCGAGGGTGCTCACCCGCGCGTCCGGCCAATTCGATGCTGTTTACGGTGCGTTCATGCCTCGAGATCTTCGAAGTGCATTTCCATTGCGCAGGGTCGCGCAAATGGTGGCCCGGAGCGGAGGGGTGCTTTTCTCAACTGTGGTGCCGTGCGCATTTTCGCACTTGGTGGTCACTGGTCACTGGTCGTTGCAGACGCACAAACACGGAATTTGGGAGAATATCGCAAGATATCACAAGAAAGCTTCTCTTTGGCATCTTGAACTTGTCTTTGGAAGTGCTTTGGTTGTGAAACGCACCGGCGCCATATCTGCGCTCCCATGTGTGCGCATATGAGCCGCAAAGCTATGACAAACATCGTTGCTCCAGTACGTTGCGCACTGTGTTCTTGTTCTACTGGGCATTGTTTGGGGCCTCTTTCCGGGATAGTTCTTTTAAAAAATGTTTGTTCTCCAAACAGGCTTACCTGTATAGGGTTATTTAAAGGGGTTGCGTGCCTGTGGGTACTCTTGGCCGCATGATTTGGCACTTGTCCCCAACTTGTCTCCCTGCTTTGTCTCCTTGCTCTTGCTTGGACACTTTTGGCCGGATGCTTTTACACTTCCACTTGGCTCGACCTACTCTGGCCCTGCCCAGATACTCTTGTTTTACACTTGTTACACTTGTCTCCCACTTGTCTCGCCCTTCTACTCTGGATACACTTGGCCGCATGTTTTTGCGCTTGTCGCAAAGATACTCTTGGCCGGATGATTTAGACTTGTCTTCCACATGTCTTCACTTGTCTCCCACTTGTCTCGGCCTCCTCCTGGTACGCTGGGCCGGATGTTTCAACACTTGTCACCAACTTGTCATCACTTCTCTCTTTGCTTGTCTCCACGCTTAGGTAACTTAGATACTCTTGGCCGGTCTCCGCTCTGGGCGCGCTAGTTTTGGCCGGCAGATTTGACACTTGTCTCCACTTGTCTCCCTGCTTGTCTCCTTGCTTGGATACCCTTGTCGGATTACTCTGGACGAAGGCCAAAAGTTTTTGCACTTGTCTCCACTTCTCTGCCCGCTTGCCCTCTGCTTGGTTGTGGTGGTAACAGCCCTGATTACAGTACCGCTGCTTTTAACCGCAATTAGCTTGTGGTCGCGCAAAGCTCTAAAGCGAAGTTCGGGGCCCGAACATTCGGGGCGCAAACGTTCGGGGCCCCAATCTTGGGAACGTCCGGGGCCCGACTGGTACACCCACGGCGCGAACAAACATGTTTGCAAAGTAGCGGCTAATGTAGTGGCAGTAGTCGTGGTAGCAGCAGTTTGTGCCTTCTTACGGACAGTAGTGGCGACCCAAGCTCTAGAGCGAGGTTCGAACCTTCGGGGCCCGAGCGTTCGGGGCCAACTTCCGGGGCCCGACTGGCCCGTCGCACGAGATGGACATTCAATATACCAGAGGTCGTCGTAGTATTCTTAGTAGCGCTCATGGTAGACGGAATTGTCGTCTGTCGTAGTGGTGGTTGACATGCCATAGGCCATAGACTCAGACATCTAACAGCGGCGCCCTGTAGCGGCGCCAGCGCCCAGCCGCCATCAACATCTGGCAGCAGCACCCTGCAGCACCAAGCCGCCGCATTTGGGGAAAAACATCCGGCCAAGCGTTTCCAGAGTTTGCCGAAACACGTGGGCGACAGTGTCACAAGAAGGTGAAACGGCTTGAGCCGTTGACTGTTTGACAGCTTGTCTCGGTGGTTTACTTCATAAACGCGCAAACTGTTTGGGGTCTACGCTGGTACAATTTTGTATTTTATTTATTGTTTAGTGCCTTTGTTTGTTTAGATAGATTGTTTTTGGCTTCGGCTTCTCAAACTTTCAGAATGTCGTCGGATGTCTTCCTGACAGAGGAGCTTGATCGTTATTGGCAGGACCGACGCTTTGCCGGCTTGTTTTTCATCACCGGCGTCGGACGGACGCTGTTCTTCCCGGCAGTCTTAAGAGAACAGCGGACTACAACGGACTGTGTTCAATACGCAGAACTTTTGTTTTGTTCGATCTTGCACGTTCAAGTGTATCATTTGTATTGTCTTTTAAAAACTATATAAACACATGAGTTTATTTGAGGACATTTGCCCAGAAAATGGTCCTCAACGAATTGGTTTCGAAGAGCGCCTTGATTTGGCACGTAGAAGTATGACTTGAACGAGTTCCTGCCAAGTTCATTGAGAAGAAACTGTTTTTTAAGTTTGGCTAACAGAATTTGTCAGTTATGAGTTATGAACCGTTTATCATTTACTGTATTGTCAGGTGGTTTGGCTGGGTCCGTCCGCGCCTCAGCCACCTTTCATGCCATGACATTGCTACTGCCTTGGACAAGGCCGGAACTATCTGCCCTTTCAGGAACTGACAGTCGAAGCACCTGTGCCAGAAAGCTACGAATTAGTCACAAGTGCCTTCCTCAGATCGAGCGCAATCTTGGAGGTGGCCACAGAGAAGTTCGTTTCCACATGAAGCCAGCCTGGGTGATTAAGCGCGTACATTCACGATGCACATTTGCACGAATCCGAGGTGCTGTTGGTGTGGCGCTCGCCCTGTTTCTGCTTGGCATCTAGACTTCGAATCATGCTGTATCTAAACAATATCTGTACACACGATCTTTCCTGTGCAAAGTTCGAGGCCAGCTTGATGCTTTTGCCTCATCGATTCCTGGAATTGGTGGTGCATCATTCACCTTCTGGGCTCCACCACTAGGTGGAATTCATGTCTCGTGTATTCTTACGTCAACAAATCACAAGTGACATGGAAGAATACCTTTTTTTGTTTTCTCAACTCCGACTCATCCTCTTTGTTTCCACTCAGGGTCGGTGGTGGTTCTCCTATTTGGTCCTGGCTTGCAGGGCCGCCGTGGAGCCCTAGGAGGGACGCTCCAGAAATGTCTCTTTGCTGCTGAACTTGTTCCTCTCTTTCTTAAGCCAGGCTCGGAACTCCCGAACTATCCGAACTCTCAAAGGAACCTTACTGGAACCAGGTTCTGATCGCACCTTTCCACGTGGAACCCTTGAACTAGCTGACCAGGCTTTGATTCTGCAGCCTGATCGCAACTTGTCTTGCCTTCTGGAGCCCATCCCCTGATGCCATCACATTCATTACAATGCTTGGTTAGCCGTGTTTGTTTCACATTCTGGATTCGACTGGTGGTTATAAGAGCCCAATCAGAAGGTCAAACAGCAAATTTAAACAGTTTTTTGGTTTGCTCCAGAACCTCCCTTCAACAAATATTATCTTTGAGCAATATGGTTCAGCTTCTGTCTAGTTTCCTCCCCAACCCCTGCGTTAAGAAAGACACACACACATTGATTTCTTAAAATGAAATGACAGAAGTTAAAAACATCGTTTGAACAACATGGATTTGACATTTGTTTTGCATTGTGGCTGCTATCGTTTGCTTCTACCAAGCCCCAAATTCCATGCCCAAAGCTTACATTAATCCAACCTTTTGGGGTACAGCTTTGATCCCCCTGTGACTGATTTTGATACCCCCGTTGTCTCTGAGCACCGTTTCTGAAGGGTTTGTAATAGAACGCTCAATTGGTCTGTTAACGCTACCCCGGCGACATCAGGGTTTGCGGTTTAAAAGACACCCTCCAGCAATGGATTGTGGTGAGTTTTCCATCATTGAGGGGGTCTCCTTATTTTAATCCGCACCTGAGTCATCCCGAATCAGCGTATAGATACATATGACTTGCGCCCCGCATTTAAAGAAGAACACCCAGTTTTGTTGAATCCCGCAGCGTCTCGGCTTTGCAGATACATGGCGCACGAGTTTCTCACGTGCTCGTGTGCTTTGTGTCTGAGCTTCCGGCGCATCTATAACCTCCCGAAGCGGCAGAGCCTCCCGGGAGGAGGGAGGAAAGAGGCGAAGAGAAGGTAGCAAAAAGAGGGAAGAAGAGGAAGGCCAAGGTGAAGGTCCAACTCGAGGCACCCGTCAAGGAGGTCTTCAAGAACACGGCATTAGACCCAGAGGCAGAGGTGAGGCACGAGTTGATGAGGAAAGCCAGGAGGATCCGAAAAGGAAAGAAGAAAAAGAAGAAGAGCTCCCGCTCTCGCAGCAAGGGTTCTTCGAAGGACGAATCGGGGGAGTCAAGCGACAGCTCAAGCCTTGGAGAGAAGCAGATCGCAACCTCGGAACTCTTCGAGAGCGAACGGAGGTCACTACGTTTCTGGCGACGTGTACCAGGAGCGTTGACACAGGCAGCAATACTGGACATGCAGGACCAGATGATGACTGCTCACGGCTATGTGAACCAGCCGGTTACAGGGGAGCAGTGGCTCCCGTGGTTGTTCAGTACTCCCGGGCGCACTTACAACCACATATGGGAGTTGCGCTCGCCCGGGAGTCGTTGCACCTTGCGACCATCCTGGACCTGAGCTTGCGAGGCCGCATCGCGGCGGCCTTAGACGCGGCCAGCCAAAGGCTAAAGGCCTTAGAGGCCATGGCAAGAGGCGCGGCCATTCGCCAGAAGGCTAGAGCTAGTGGGAGCGGATCGTCCGTCGCTCCTGACCACTCCCGAAGCAGGAGAAGCAGGAAGAGAGCGCCAGGCAGAGGATCGCATCTTGAGGCGCAACACCGGTCGTTGGCAGTGGGAGGAAAAGGATTCCTACAAAGGTGGCAAAGGCAAAGAAAAAGGAAAGAGAGAGAAAGGCAAGGGAGAAGGCAAGTACAAGGGCAAGGGCCATCGAAAAGGCGACGGAAAAAAGAAGCAGGGGAAGACCGACAAGGATTGAGGAGCTTGTCAGAGGGGTTGCTGAGGGGAGGCTGTGGTCGGCCTTCGCGTACTCTCCCGGTTGATGTGGACAGCGTTGAGAGGCACACAGAGGACAACGTTGGGCTTGAGGAGTTTCACGAGGGGCTGACACCCCTTACGGCTGGATCCAAGTTGGCAGACTCGGAATGGCCCACGGCGCTACGAGGAAAAGAATGTCAAGATGAGAACTCAGTGCTGGGCTCACGTGCTGAGGGAGGAAGTGAGGAAGGCAACCTAGGCTTGGGTTGGGTTGTCCTCCGTGAAGAGGCGCCGGCCATTGGAAAGTTGGCGCTCCCGAAGGAGGGGAGTAGCGAGGTTGACAGAGCGGCTGTACAGACATTTGTTTCACCCAGCAACTTTCAGCAGCTCGTGTCCATGGCCAGGTCAATACTCAGTAGCATGGAGATTCAGCGCATGCAGAACACGGTAGAGGATTCACTTGTTATGCCTGATGATATCTTCCCTTTACCTCTATCCCTGGTTCCATGGTCTAGATCGAAGCTGGCGAGTGCAGACATGATCTACGGGCTGAACTTCTATGCGCGCGGGCAGGGGGACGGACCCCGACCGAAGCGTGAGCCTTGTGGGTTGGTGGAAAACTTGGGAAAGTTGTGTGATCACTTCAAAGTGTGGGATGAACCATTGGGCAATTTGGACTTCCGGACTTCTTCGCCAAGAGAGGGGTGACGTACGACGGGGAGGAAGTTCGTGTGGCACAGACATTGACTTGGAGTGGGGTTCGAGGATCCCTACCCGATGAGGTTGGTCGTCTAGAGTTGCGGGACTTTTGCGCCCAGCATACCTTGCATTACATCGACCATTTTGAGGAGCGCTTGATGGACGCCTCTCACATGACATGTCCCCGTGCCCCCCGCATCATGGTCGGTGACGATTGGCCCTCGATCTGCAAGGGACGCATCGAGAAGAAGATCTGCGATGTCACACCGATCGATCAGCTCTTCCACATCGGCCAGGCACCTTTGCTGAACGGGATGTTCGGGGTTGGCAAGGGCAAATTCGTAGGAGAGGTGGAGACTCAAAGACTGATTATGAATCTTATACGCCAGTTGCGCGAACCCCTTGTGCGAGACGTATAGTGACTCTCCCGAACATTAGTTGGCCCACTCGAACTTACAAGGATGCACTTTTAGAAGCACCCCCGGGACTTCATGGCGGGCAACCCGGCAAGAAAGCAAAAAAGGTGTGAGGGTCTGACTAGCTACGGGATGGCTGCCCTGAATCGTAGGGGGGATCTCCCGATGGAGGGAGACACATTGCAAGTATTCACGGTGGGACTTTTCAACGGCTTTGGAGCTTTGCGTCTCGCGCTGGACAGTCTCGGGGTGGCAGTGGCTGGGCAGTTGAGTGTTGAGAAGGAAGGTACAGGGAGACGTGTAGTTGAAGCGTTTTTCCCTGACTCCATATTTCATGATGACGTCCGGACAGTGGACGAGGAGATGGTCAAGCGTTTGGCGCTACGGTTTCCCTCTGTCGCTCTTGCAAGGGGTCGGCGGTTTGAACGCATCCAAGAAAGGTGCCCTTCGAGACGAATGCAGTTGTCTGTATCAAGAGGCGCGGGGCAGTACGACCTTGCAGGGCATTTTGCTGCGTCCACCGTTGCTGTCGACAAAGCGTTTGGTGACAAGCTTGGAGAAGCCGTTGCTGTTGAAGGTCAAATTCCATAGACTACGCTCCAGCGTGCCCGGGAAGTTGTGGCGGTGGAAGGAGGTCACTGGATGGCAGTGGCGACATTCTGGAGAGCACATTGATGTGCTCGAACTCCGTGCTATCCTCACCACACTACGTTGGCTGGTTGTTCGCCGGGGAGCCCACCGCCGTCGCTTTCTACGCTTGACAGATATTTTGGTTTGCTTGCGTAGCTTGTCGCGTGGTCGAACCTCATCGCGGAAGTTGAGGCATGTGTTGAAGCGTGTCAACTCTCTGATCCTTGCTGCTGACCTGCGCCCTGTGTGGGGGTATATCCACACTTCCCAGAACCCCGCAGACCGCCCTAGTCGGCGGCCTCTCCAACGAAAATGGGGAAATCAAAGTGAAACAACACTTAGAAGGTCATAGCAAGGAGACGCGTGCGAGGAACAGACAAGCTTTGGGTACACTGCGTGAACTCACAGTGCAACCGCAAACCAGAAAACGATACAGTCAAGCAAAGAACAAATTTTACGACTATGCCAAGACAAATGGGTTGACGATACTTGCCAATTTCGCTGCCTTTGACGACAGGTTGGCCGACTATGTGGAGCACTTGTGGAGCGTGGGGAGGGGCGAGCGCTTGCAAGTGATACGGTTGCCGCATTTCAGGATACTGAACCTCGGTTGAAGGGCAAGCTACAAGTGACTTGGAGGCTTCTGAAGACATGGCGCGTAAATGAGGTGCCAAGTCGCGAAGAACGCCTCTTCGCCATGCTTGGTTGGTGCCTTTTTCATCGGGAGTATGCGTTTGGACTGAGCCTGTTGCTAGGTTTTTATGGCTTACTGCGAACGGGGGAGATTCTCGGGTTGTGCAACCACCATATCCTGATGACATCTCCCGATAAACCTGCAGTTATTTCATTGGGTTTAACCAAATCTGGCAAACGGGCCGGTGCGTCCGAGAGTGTCACGATCTCTGTCGCGTGTGCTCTGCAATGGCTGTGGGCCTGGAAGCACACATCTCCTACGCACAGCCCTCTGACCCCCAAGCCTCACCAATGGAGAAAAACTTTCAGTGAATTTGAATGCATCAAGGCATTGAACCTTGAAGAATTCGAGTTCCGCCCCTACAGTTTGCGTAGGGGTGGCGCCACGTTTTGGTTCGGGCGCCACGGATCTCTCGATAGGATGTTGGGCAGCAGCGAGAACTGCGCGCCTGTACATTAATGAAGGTCTTGCATTGTTGGCCACTTTGAAGATTCCCAAGAAATCCATCCTTCCGTTTGTACGTACGCTTCACCAGCGTGACCTTGCGAAGCTACCTCGAACGCTTGAGCGTGCTAAAGCAGTTTAAGGGGAAGTGGAATAAGGAGGGTCAGTTTTTCCGTGTCAACCAGAAAAAGACAAAAATGCTACTTGGGCCCAGGGGTCCTGGTTTGGCAGGATGCCTGGGGGGTAGGAGGGGCAAACATCTTTCCGTGGTCTGGCAGGAAAGGCGTTTGCTGCGCCTCTTGTCGTGGAGAATGGGAAGAAAGAGGGTTTTTCTTGCCTTCCGCGTTGATCTTTTGACTATTTATTGACACATGACTGCGTGCGCGGGTGAAAAACAACGGGTGTGAGTCTTTGACTTGCGCCCCGCATTTGAAGAAGAACGCCCAGTTTTGTTGAATCCCGCAGCGTCTCGGCTTTGCGGCCACACCCGCCCACCCATGTGTGAGGAGGGAATTAGTTTTTCCGTGTCAACCAGAGAAAGACCAAAATGCTACCTGGGTGAGGGGCCCTGGTTTGGCAGGATGCCTGGGGGGTAGGAGGGGCAAACATCTTTCCGTGGTCTGGCAGGAAAGGTGTTTGCTGCGCCTCTTGTCGTGGAGAATTGGAAGAAAGAAGGTCTTTCTCGCCTTACGTGTTGATCTTTTGACTATTTATTGACGCATGGCTGCGTGTGCGGGTGAAAAAGAACGGGCGTGAGTTTTTATATTTGTATATATAGTATATACACGTGTGTGTGTGTGTGACATGGGGTGTGTGTGTGACTGAGATTACCCAGTCAACAAAGGTATATAGCGACCCTGGTGTCCTCCCAAGACGGTCCGCCGCCTTTTCACACCTGTGCCGTTCCTGTCCTGTGCACATCATTGAGCCAAATCGAATGGTTCGATCGGCTTTCATCTTACCCTCATTCGAAGTTCACTGGCTCAAGCCCTGCTTCTGGTGTTCAACTCAGTCTCACTATATTCTCTTAATGAGCGTGGTATTAGAGTCGGGTGCTGGAAGGACTCAATCCATCGTGAACTGAAGTTGCGGTTGCCAAATGGCAGGTGCTTTTAAACCCTCTCTATAGAGGTTGATTAATTTTCTGATTTCCCCACCGACTCCACGTAGGTATCCAGGAAGTGGATGCGCTTCCAAATCCCTTTGCCTCCAATCGCTTTCGAAACTCCTTGTAAGCAGGAGAGGAGCGCCAACTCGCCCGCACGCATCTCCGCGAAGTAAAAGCATTTGCTCGCTGGACATTCAACATCTCCTTCAACTCAGGCGCTGGATGCGTGGCTATAACTGACGATCATTTAGCCTCTAGCTAATTAACATGTCTTTATATCGAATGTCTACAATTGCCAATGCAAGGAGCTGACTGTTTGCAAGATCAACATTCCATCCCGGACAAGGTTGGACTCTCTCGAATCACAAGTCTTGCCTTTGGTTTTCTTCCCGAAGGAGATGATGTGTGGTCTTCCTTCCAAGTCAAAGCCCATTTCGATGACGTAATTTGGCGGATGAAGTTTGTTTCAAAAATGAGGCTCGCCGGCTCAGTTGTTTTTGTCCCGATCCAGCACTTCATTTCCCGTTTCTTTGCCTGATCGAACAGTTGCTCTCCTCCACCGCAAGATTCTTTCTGTACAGCAGCTCTGTGTCAGTTTGCTGCTCTAATTAAAGCTTGCGCATGGAAACGCGGATCCTAGCAAAATTTCTCCAATGTTTTCATTGGGAAGAATTCACAAGGACAGACTTCTGCCGTTGCTACATGTGATTGCTCTTCACTCCTGGACATCCCTTGTCTATAGTTACAGTTTTTCTGTCTACCCCTTCTATTAAATATGCATTGCCGGAATTAGGCTTCCGTCTAAACCTTGAGGGTGGCTGATATTCGACCCCGCAATCGAAATTCGTCTGACAGGTTCTTCCTCTGGTTGGGCTGACCTTGCAGGTGATGGGATTCTGCGTCGGATGGCGCAAGATCAATTTCTTCAACATGATCTGAGGATTGGAACATTCCGCTCTTTTCTTTCAGTGATGTCTCCTCAATCTCTTCTCTTCTCTTCTCTAATCTGCTGAAAGCCATGGTGGCTTTGAAGCTCTCAGCGACGCAGGCCTCATATTGTCTCTGGCTACCTGACGGAGTGTTTTGAAATCGGTCATCCAAATAATGGTTCTTGTTTCGTGCATTACTACCTGACCGACCTATCTTTCTCAAGACGCTTCGGTGCTTTCCATTTGCACCATATCATGAACTCACCGCGGTTCCAATCTTGTTCTCCGCCCCTTGATTGCCTCAAAATTGCCCTTGTAATGGCTTGGATATTGTCTGCGCCTAGCAAGGCCTTTCGAGCTTTGATATGTGTCCCTGGAAAGCATCAGATTGTATGTCTTCGCTGTCGCCCAGACAATAAAGAGTTGTGACTTCAGATTGTATGTCTTCGCTGTCGCCCAGAGAATTGTGACTTGTCTGACCACATGACCACACGAACCCGGGAAATTTACGTTCTTGCCCTGCCTAAGACTGCTTGCTCTGTGCTATATGCATTGGCGACACTCATGTCATGGTGTTCTTTGCTTGGAAAGCACTGGGCCAAAGCGACCTCAAAGTCTTTGTCGCTTACCATGGGCTGATGATGATGACGATGATGATGAAGAAGACGACGATGATCAATCCACGCCACCGTGTCTTCCTATTCTACCCCTCTGGCAAGGCGCTGCTGTTATTGGTTGGATGCCGTTTTGTTGCGTGGTATCCTTCCAGAGTTGGCTTACGAGGTCTCCAGCCAAATCACGCGCAATTGCTTGAGTGGGCCAGCGCAGTGAACTTTTTGATTGGTCGCCCTGACAGCACTTTTGACATCCTTCGGTTGCGCGCTTCATCAACCAGCTGCGCCGACGCTCATGTGCTAGTGTCGGCGCTTGGGATCAAGGCCGTTGTGGGCGGGACTACCCCCGCCTCTATGACCCCAAGATGTACGACGACGATGAAGAGACCAAGTTCGACCGGCCAAGGTGACGCCTTGGGCGAATGGTGGCGCGAGCCAGAGCCCAATGGACCTCCGAGGACTGACTGCTCCACATGGACATGCTGATGTGTGGTAGAAGGAAGAGACTACACCAGGTGGCGCGTGGGTCTACGCGCCCAATGGTCCTCCCAGTGGATATGGTGAAGGATCAACGGCTTCGAGACCGCATCACCGACAAGTTCGGTTCACGTAATAAGCGTAGACATGCTCATGCTCCTCCTATAGTGATGACCCGCGTGACGATTGCTCCGAAGAAGAACGAGCTGAGTCGGAACGGCTGAGATCCTCAAGCTGGAGGACAGGGCCCGCGCCTGACAGGCTCGCAAACGCCGACGTGGCCAGGTAGCGCCTCCATGGAGTGCGCCCCTGCTGGTGGTGCTGCCGATCGCGGCTTTGGAAAAGGCGCCGCTGGGCGCAGTGCTTGATTGCGCACCTGGCCCCACACGTCGTCTATATTTCGCATATACGGCGGCGGTGGCGGAAGGGGACATGGGACAGGAGTTCATGAATCATGGATCTTTTGGGGGACGCCCGCTTTCGGCCGGACCTGTGCTACGAGCAACTTCAGCGGCAAGGGTTCACCAAGTTCTCGTGAACCAAGCCGCTGAAGGGCCCTCCAGGACAGTTCGGCCCTATGGGAAATACCAACCTGAGTTGCCCCCCCTACTGTGGCCAGTCATCTGGTGTGTGAGAGCCTCGTGTCCAGTCAAGACCCAGGCAAGAAACCAATCCAATAAGCAAGCGTGCGTTTGTTTTTTGGACTCAATGCTTAAAGAAATTCAGTTTATTTAGTTGGCGCAATTCACTTTGGATACATTGGAGACAACTGCAATGAAAGACGTTTTATAGAGCTTTGCATGATAGATCAACCCCGTTGAATCATGGAATGTTTGGTGACTTCGTGTGCTGGTGGCTTGGCCAGGAGATACGGAGGCTATACGCACGGTCATTGTTGCGTGCTTCGGGTGTGCCCTTTGTGCAGCTTGGACAATGGCAAATTTTTTCCACGGAACGGGGAACATCAAAAATTGTGAGTCTTGTGCTTTGCAGTTCAACAAAGAGATCACTCGAACTTGTGGAGTCAATGGCACTTAACCCTTTTGGCTCTGTTGGGTGTTTAAATATGTTTAATTGTTTGATTTGCTTCTCCACGAGCCTGGCTTGGTTTACCAACGAATTCAAACCCGGTGTGTCTGACGAAGTTTTCCAAAGGCAAAGCGCTCTTTACATACGGGCTGCCGCGCTGGAGTTGGCGTCCGAACCAGCGCTGTGGCCCAGTAACCTTGCTGACACCTTCATGAGCGCCCCCACATCCAAAACTCATCTAGAATCGCCCACGTCAAATGTAATGAACAAGTTCTGGTTGTCCCTGGCAGCATTGATTGCGCATGGGCAATGTGCAAGTCATAGCCCGCGCATTCCTCTCAAAGGAAAGACCCCTTAGAGCCCGCAGCGTACCTGAATGAAACTGTTAACCATGTCAAAAACCATCCAGGCACCGTTTGCAGTCCAACCCAACAAATCAGCAACCCACAGAATCAGGTTGCAACCACCGGCGAGTACGGTTGCGCAGACGCTGCAAATCAAAACATTGAGAGGGAAAGCAAACCCTATGCGCAACAAATATTGCGCCGCGCCTCGCGAGAGAGTCATCCAGGAGCCACGAGGTTAAAACTAGAGGTTCGTTGTTGAAGCAGGTCAACTTATGATGCCGCTCCACGCAGTGGAATCCTTGGACAATTGGCAATTGTGCGCAGGCGGGTCAAAGGCAACTCAATCATAGAATGGAAGCTGGCAGGGCAAGGAACCCAACCAAGGTTGTTAGCCTCCTCAAAGATCTTGCGGTCGCCGTGGACAAACTGCCAGGTGTGCACGCTGCAAGCATCGCTGCCTGAAACCTCCATGGCATGTGACTCGAGCCGACCCCTATTAAGACTGACGTTGTGAAGTCAGACTGAGGCCAAGGCGTTCAACAAAAAGAAATCGCTTTACGCAGGAACAGTTGGCTGCGACGATGCGCCTGTTGCCCGATGGGATGTGAATGTGAATGTTCAATGTTCCTCAACGCTAGTTGAGCCCCACGAGTGACACTGACCATTTGGGTGGAAAGCAGGCGCAGATAGGCGCAGTATACTTGCATGGTTGCTGCTGCTGGACGCTCTTGGCTGCTTGCTGGTTGCTGCTGCCTGCTGCTTGCATGCTTGCTGCTGCTGGATGCTGGCTGCCTGCTGCTTGCTGTCTGCTCCGTTTTGCTGCTGTTGCTGTTTGGGGTTGTTGGCTGCTGTTGGTGCTGAAGAAGGCCTATTCGTTTCAATTGAGAGTAGTTGCATTCCCTCTGAGTCGCGAAACGCGGTAGTGGTAGAATCTAGCACAAAGACCAAGTTGGTTTCATTGCATTCGAGGATAATTTCATTATATTCGAGGGAATTGGTTGTGACTTGAAGAAGCTTTTACAGGCATGTGCCCGCCCCACAACCCCCAAGCGGGCCATGACAGATCCTTCCCACGCCTCTGGTAGCTGCTGCTTGCTGCTTGCTGCTGCTGCTGCTGCTGCTGCGGCTGCTGGCTGCTGGCTAATGGCTGCTTGCTGGCTGCTTGCTGCTGCTTGCTGCTGGCTGCCTGCTGCTGCTTGGTAGCTGCTGCTGCTTGATGGCAGCCGCTGCCTGGTAGCTGCTGCTGCTGCTGCTGCTTGGTAGCTGCTGCTGCTGCTGCTGCTGCTGCTGCTTGGTAGCTGCTGCTGCTGCTGCTGCTGCTGCTTGGTCGCTGCTGCTGCTGCTGCAGCGCTGTTTCTTTGCCTAGCTTTTGCCACCCCCCTCTGGGTGACAAGTTGAGCCCCACGAGTGACACTGACCATTTGGGTGGAAAGCAGGCGCAGATCGGCGCAGTATATTTATTTGAAGTTTGTCCATCTCAAGTCCAAACACGTTGCTTCACCCCTGCGCAGAAGTGAATCAACCACTCAAACTGTTTGGCCAAGGCGATGATTGCCATTTATTTTTTGGGAGGTGAGAACCCCCCTTTGACACGGGCAGCGGCTGCAAGCGCTTCTTTACTTTGGATGCGGTCCACTCGTAGCTTGTTTGCGCCAGCAGGAGCGTTCGCCACACTGGCCGTTGACGAATCCTTGCCACGGCTGCCGGCAGTACGGGATTGGCAATGGGTTGCAGAAGGGGTGCAGCTGATTTTAATTCCAGCAATTTGTGGGTCCCTTTTCCTTTTTGCTTCTCAATCTGCTGCTGTGTGGTTGCGGACAACATTTGCTTGGCAAGAGCCGCTCTCTTTACAAGATACATGGCTAGTTGGAGAACTTCGCAACGCCTTTCCATCGCTGCCCAAACGCGAATTGTCCAAGCTGCTAAAGCAGGCTGATGAAGTTTTTTACGAGCCAAGATCGATTCTGACTGAGCAGGGATCCTCGAACAAGTATTTGTGGTTGGTGATTTCAGGAAAGCTTCTCGTGGAGGTGAGTGGACAAGTTGCTTCAACACTGGAGCGAAAGGCCATTGTGGGCGAAGTGACATTCTTGGATCCTCGAGACAAGCTTGCCACAGCTACAGTTTATGCCGCAGCGCCCAACGGAGCCAGGACCCTTGCCGGCTTGGTGACAGTTCTGTCAATCCTTTCGTGCCAACTCTCCATTGGTGGCAATGAGGCAGCTTTTGAACCTAGGGTGATCACTATATGTACATACATATATATACACAGCCCCACACACATACATACATACCTACCTACCTACCTACCTACGTACGTACGTACGTACGTACGTACGTATGTACGTACATACATACATACATACATACATTTTTTCTACGCTCCTTTTCTGTGCCAATCTCAGACCGCCTTGGGTCGAAAACAGCTTGGTAGCTGTTGCTGGGACTTGTCTTGGTCGCAGGAGGCTTTCAAAGCCTTGCTTGCCTCATAGCCCTCCTTGCCCATCATGGCATGTGAGTGGCATTCGAGGCAGTATAGTTTCCTGCCCTTGCGCCACATTCGATGTGACTTGTGCCCTTTCCATCCTTCATCTGGCTGCAAACTTTCATTCCAGCATTTGGTGCTGGCCAAAGCCATCAGCTTCTCCCTTGAGGAGTTTTTGAGCTGTCGGCCACTGCGCTGCACACAGACCACGTAGTTGGTCTGGATCTGAAAGTCATGAGCTCCCATGTTGTCCAGAGTTCCATCAACCATGCTGCTAAGGAAAGCAGCCTTGCTGACTCGTTCATCTGGAGCTGGTCCGCTTCCTCCAATCAAGGAAACACCTGTTTGGAGAGGGCATTCTTCCGTGCTTCCTGCTGCAAGTTCAGCCATCTTGTTGTGCATGGTGAGTTTCTTCTTGCAGTGTTTGCATTGTGCGCTTCGTCCTTTGTGTTCCCACTGGTGTCCTGCCTGAGTCGAAGAGATCATCAGATCATGGAAGAGTTTCTGCTTCTGGTCTCTTGTCTGCTGCCGGAGGACTTTTCCACTTTCTCTGGCTTGGTTGAGGAAGTGGGACTTGTCTTCTAGCAAGTACTGAATGCGCTGGATGGCTTGAGGTGCCACTCTCTTGTACTTGCTGTCTTGTGGATAGAGCCACTTCAACAGCTACCTTTTTGGCATCTGCCATGTGATGTCTCAGCGACCATTCAGTCTTTGGCATTTCCTTCAACTGGGCCGGTGTGATGGTGAGGGCTTTGATGCGGCGTCTCTGGCCCAGAGTGATCAGTCCAGTCATATCGTAGAAGACCTCTCTGTGTTTGCTGAGCGTCCAAGCTTCCCAAGCCCTGGTGGAGGTGACATGAATGACAACCGGAGTTTGAAGGTTGACATAATGCGCCACCATCCGTAGCCCGTAAAACCATGCTCTCTCCCATGTTTGTTTGCCTGGTAGCACTGTGACAACCGGTTTGTGCCGGTAGAGCTGTCCTCCAAGCTGAACATGATGCACTATGGCCACCACAAAATGCCTCACGCGGACATCTTTTGAAGACGTTGAGATGCCAACGGTGACAACTTCTTGTCTCTGGCAACTGTAGCTCATCATGCGTAGTCCATGAGCCCCATGCCTGAACTGCTGCGCCTCCTGTAGAGACTTCCAACCGAGGTAGTTGAAGAAGTCCTTGGGCCCAGAACTCTAAGTTCAGTCCATGCTCCAGCTCAAAAACATCTTCTGCCTTCAGCTCCGGGAAATGCTTTCGCGTCTCCTTGCAAAGCCAAAGAACGTGAACCGGTGTGGCCGGTTGGCCACAGTGAGGGCAGGTCAAGTGCTTGTGCTGGTCTCCATCAGCAACTTTGGTGAAGCTGGCGCCTTGATGCCACGTCATCAGCGCAGTGGCAGTGCGACTGTTGAGCTGCTTTGTCTGTCTCTGCCATGGGGGCCAGTCCAAAGGCTGTTGAACTTCCTGAAGCAAAGTTCTCTGTCGAATTTGAGCCAGACGATCCCAGGCTTCTGCACGCTTGAGCTCTTGCTTGAGTTCCAGCCATGACGAAAGCAGGTCAATCTGAAAATTGTCCTGCCCATTGTAGCCCGGCTTCTCCCACTTGTAGTGCGTGTCTGTGCTCCATCCGGCTCCATCAAATAGCACTGCAGAGCTGAGACGGGCCCTTTAGCCACTTGCCAGAGATGCTTGGCTTGCTGTAGTTTGGCTGACTGCACATGCCACGCCTTCTCTAAGTCCTTGGCAAGTTGGTCAGGCCAAGCTCCATAGGACCGATGGTAGGCTTTAACCTCATCCATGAAGGCTCCATAGTCTGGATCTTGGTGACGTGGGAACATGTCGAAGAGAATCTCAATGTTGCCAGTTCTTTGCAATCCCATTTGTCTGCCCATGGTCGTGTTCTGTCATGAAGGACCGTTCAAGGCTACCTGCAAACATTCCATTCCTGGCATAGCTCTCTCCCAGAAATATTCTTGTTGAATGTCCAACTGCCATTGTCTGGTGTATGGTGCACGGAGCCGACACCACAACCTGTACATGGTTGCAACCAGTGCAATTGGTCTCTCAATTTCTGCATTCTTCGGTACGAGAGCAATGAGCGAAACAGCCCACTGATTGGGAATGCTGGCTTGAGCTTCAACTTCATGAAAAAGGTGAATGAGATTCCTCATGGCTTGGAAAGGGAGAGCTCTGAAGAAGTCAAAGCCAACTCCATGCAGGCCCGGTGCCTTCTGTGCTAGCTGCTTGATAGTTTTCCAAAAATGAATGTCCGTCAAAGGTCGAAGTTCTTGTGCATGTTCACGTGCTTTGTCTTGGAGAGCCGGAAAGGCCTCAGGGACCAAGGGCTCATCCTGAAGCTTCCATATTGTGCCCCATTGCTGCAGTCTCATGTCCACCCGTTCTGTTCGTGGGAGGTTTTGAAAGGGCCTCAAATAAGGCGTCTCATCACGCTTGAGGGTTCTGTAGAGGCCTCTGCAACCCTTCTCCGTGGCCTTGTTCACCCAAAGTCTGTATTGTTCTGTTTCAACTGCAAAGGACTCTTCCGTGCGCAGTGTTCGTTGTTCTTTGGCAAATTTCAACAAAACTTGGATGTGTTCAGCATCATGATTGGTCCAAAGCATGTCAAACAGCATTCTGAAACCATCCATGGTGACTTTGGCGTCATGGTGCCAGTTGTCTGACTGATGCCATCCCAGCTTCTGCAAACGATGGAGTTTGCTTTGATCCCAGTCTGAACGATGAAGATGTTGTTGAAGCCGTACTTCTATCTGGGCCCAAAATGCTTGTGCTCCTTCCCCCAGATCCATGGCTTGCTCAGATCCATCAGGGGCCTGTGGACGTAGTCCAAATGTGAGCCACGTCCAAGCTTTGGGCTGTCAATGTTCTGAAGGACGTAGCGCTCAATTTTGCTGTAGAGGGCTCCCGCCTTGCTCGAAAGAGGTGTAGGATCCATGATCAACCATTTGACCTGCGGCGCACTGTCAGAGACTTGCGTCCATTCAGCTGAGATTTTTTCTAGCCTCGGTGCTGGATTGTTCCCGAAAGCACCTGCGAAGGGTTTTTCCTTAAGCACTGCTGCCTATTTCATCTTCCTTAATCTCTTTCTCTTACTTGATCTTCCCCACTCTCTCTTCCTTACTCTCTTTCTCTTACTTCATCTTCCCCACTCTCTCTTCCTGACTCTCTTTATCCTACTTCACCTTCCTTACTTCATATTCTTTACTAACTTTCTCCTACTTCACCCTCACAACATCATCATCTAATCATCACCTCATAGGTTATCATATCATATCAGGTTATAATATCATATCACATCACATCAATGTCATAACATATCATATCATATCATGTTTTAATATCATATCACATCACATCAATGTCAGATCATATCATCTCATATCATGTGATAAAATAATATCACATCACAACATAACATATGAAGTAGAAGTATCAGATCAACAATATCAAAGTACATCAGAAGTAGATATTGATAGGTAGGTATTGATAAGTGGGTATAGACAGGTAGGTGTAGGTAGGTAGGTGTAGATAGGTAGGTGAAGATAGGTAGGTGAAGATAGGTAGGTGTAGACATCTTCCTTAAGACACCTACCCAACTTCACCTACCCAACTTCTTCTTTATTCTTCTCTTTAGGCGGCGGGGCGGTGCGAGCAGGTCTTACGAAACGCAACCCTCTCGTGGAATCGTGGCCATCGATCGCGCGCGCGTGTGGTGAGACGCGAATCGCGTTTGTCCGTGAGCAACCCTCTGCGGAGATCGTGCGTGTCGATCGCGCGAACGTGTGGTGAAACGTACATTTTGTCTGTGCCCGGATCGTTCCCCCATTGTAATTCTGGTCGCAAGGATGTCGCGAATGTGCGCTGCGGACTTCATACTCATTGGGAAATGCGATTCCATGGTCTGTGCCCGGAGCGTTCCCCCATTGTAATTCTGGCTCGAAGGTGTTCCTGTGTCATCGCTCGGAGCGTAGTTACATTGTGTTTTGCAAGCTTTGGTTGCTAATCGCCTTATAGTTCTGGCTCGAAGGTGTTCCTGT